CCACCTAGCTTTGGATATGCTACAAAGGAGGGACGGTAAGTACCTCCTAATGGCCAAAGCAGGACCCTGGGACACCTGGTAAACCTGCCCTGGAATGATTCTATCCATTTCTTCATCTCCTCCAGAAAGAGAAACAGAGGCACAAAGAGAAGATGAATCTATAGGTTTAGGCCTGAGATTATAAATGGAAAGCAAGGCCCCATGTTTTTGGCAAAGCCCTCTGAGTGAGGGATGCTTGCATTTGCCCAGCTGGAGTCTCACTAGAGGCTCCTCTGAGCTGTTCTACCAGACACCCCACCCCCTCTCAGATCCAGCCCTGACCTGTCCTGCTCCTGGAATGAGGAGCAAGGAGCATGTCTGCCTCCACGGTTGCCTAGAGTGTGTGTAAGGTGAGTGCTCCAGGTGTCTGCCAGTCACCGTGTGGGTGGGTGTAGCAGTCTGTTTTGTACAGAACCTCCATTCAGGAGTTAGGGCATTATCTCTCCTCTGTACACTGGGGGGCTTCCAGTTCCTCCCTTCTAGATCCCAAGGTTCTAAAGTTCTTCCTTTCTGAAGAAAAGGAACTGAGGGCCCTTTGGAGAAAGAAGCAGGCTTCTTTGTGGCTGTGTCTCCTCCAGAGTTGGCAAAAAGTTCATAGGACCAATGGGGTTAAGTTCCAGCCCTGCTCTGACCCACTTTCCTCCCTGTGCCCACATCCCCTAGGGCCGGGGTATTGGGTGGGGCCACCCTGGCACCCTAGCACCCACACCTGGGACTTCCCCGGATGGAAACTCCCAGACCCTGGTGTCTTATCTCCCTTGCCAGCTCCTACCAACTGCCTGGGATCTGTTCAGCTTCAATCAGATCTCACTGTCTGCCAGCTCTTGACCAGACTACATCCCAGCCTTAGCCTCAAGAAGTCCTGAGGATCTGGGCCCATCTTTGATGTCTGGTTGCCCCTTCTAGCAGACTCCTTTGAAGAAAAGGTGTGGGGCTGGGGGAAGAGGGTTGGGAAGCTATTCTTTGTTGAGTACCTAAATGTTCCAGGCATTTGCTAGGCACATACATTTGTATATTACTCATTTATCTAATCCACACAGCAGTACAGAGAGGTAGCAGTTATCATCCCCATTTCATAGAATAGGGAGCTGAGAACCAGAGAGATTAAGTGACTTGACCAATATCACACAGCTAGGAAATGGGAACCCAGGTCTTGGTGATCCCGAGCTCTCTTCACCACTGCAGGCTTCCTCCTCTTCTGCAGCTATCCGCCTCTCCATGGGATGAGAGACTTGGGGGAATTCAATTCAGTCTAACTCAGCAAACAGTTTTTGGGGATCTGCTATATGTCAGACAATGATAGGTATCAGAAATACAAGGAAGATTGCTGTCCTTGAGGTCTGATGTAAGATGTATGAACTAGGAATATTTAACTTCAACATAATAATCTGGATGAGGCAGCATGGAGCAGTAAAAGAAGTGGTACTTTTCTTTTCTTTTCCTGAAAGAGCATATAAATAAATATATTATGAACAGTGTACAGAATAAATTGGAATAAAATAAATACCTATTCAACTGCTACTCAGGTCAAGAATGAGAGTATTGCCTACACCTCAGAAACTTCCATGTGTTTCTTCCATAATTCCTTCCCTCCCCTAAGAAGTAACTACCATCCTGACCTTTGTGATCATTATTTCCTCGTTTTTCTTTATAGTTTTAACACCTATGTATGTATTAAACAATTGCTTAACTTTGCTTGTTTCAAGGCTTATATAAATGGAATGATACTGTATTATTCTTTTGTGTCTTACTTATTTTGTTTGTGAGATATATCCAAGTTGTTGCATATAATTGTCTTTTTCATTGTTGCATAATATTCAGTTACATGAATATACCACAGTTTATTTTTTTTTTACTCTACTATTGGTGGATGTTTGAGTTGTTTTCAGTTCAGGCTATCTAATTCTGCTAAGAACATTCTTGTACATGTTTCCAAGTACACACATGTAAGAAATTCTCGAGGCTACCAAACTAAGAATCAGTGTATGTTCAGGCAATCGCAATTTTATCAGGTAATGCCAAACTGTTTTCCAAAATTGTTTTACCAGTTACACAAGAAGCAGAACATTCTAACCAGGGGCAGGAGTAGGACCAAGAAGACCCTACACTTTCTCGCCTCAAACACCTCAGTGGTTTTCCCTTTTTCTTGGAATAAGATTCAAGTCCCTGCTGTGTCTCCCAAGGCCTCTGCCTTGCTCTCTACCTCTATCATTATGACTCCGCTTTACTCTTTGCCCTTGCTGTCCCTCCTCTGGAATGTTCTTCCAGTAGATATCTCCATGACTCCTCCCTCACTTTCTTCAGGTCTTTGCTAAAATGTCACTTCTCAGTGGCACTTTCCCTGATAACCCAATTTTAGATTACAACCTCCATCTCTCATTATCCCCTTCTCAGCTTTATTTTTCTCCATAGCCCAGCCTCCTGGATTCCATTCGGCCTCAGGCGGCTTTCCCCTAGTCTGTCAGGGCTTGACAGATTGTGTCTCTCTCAAAATCCTTAAGGGCTGTCATACCCGACTGTTTGGAGGCCGTCTAGCTGCTCCTCTGATGGATCCATCTCTCTGAGTCACTTTATCACATCACCATTTTTTTCATTGCCATTTGCATGCTCTGAAATAAGCTAATATATTTGTTTGTTTACCCTCTTTGGTTTTGGTCCCCACTCCTCACTCACTACCTCTCACTTTTCATCGGAGCTCCATAAGAGAGGAAACCTAGCTGTCTTGTCCAAGCTGGTTGTCAGTCTCCCAGAGACAGCCGGGCATCCCCACACCCACGCCTGGGACTTGCCCTGTCTAAAAACACCCAGGCATCCTCCCTCAGCTGCCAGCTCCCACCGTATCCCTTGCTCAATCTCAGAGCACTTCTGTTGCTGCTGCTTGTCCTCAACCTCCTCGTCCTCCTCTTCCTCTTCGTCCTCCTTGTCCTTGTTCTTGTCCTCCTCCTCGTCTTCCTCCTCGTCCTCCTCCTCGTCTTCCTCCTCCTCCCCTTCTCCTTCTCCTCCTCCTCCTTATTCTTCCCTAAGTCCCCTACAGAGACTGTTTGGGAGCCTGAAGCAGCCATTCTGGCCATCAGGGCTGGAGAGTGATGGGCGGGGGTCCTTACTTAGGTAGTTATCAGGTTCCTGGAGCTCAAGAAATACTTTTTGATTGAATAAAGGGGAAAACTTCAGAGACTATAGGACCTTGCCAGGTGGGAAAAAGAGAAAAGGCACTCCAAGCAGAAGGAACAGTGTGAACAAAGGACTGAAGGCATGAAAGCGCACGTCTTATTTGAAGTACATGTCCTAGTCTGGTGCAGTTGGAGGATTTTCAGTGGAGAGGAGGGTGGTTGAAGAGCATTGCCGGGCAGGCCTGAAATGCGAGGACTGTGATGGGAAGGTCTGATCTGCCTGAAGGATCAGCAAGGCTCAGCAGTGTCTTAGGTTTAATCCTGCCTCCACCCCTGCCCCCACAGCCTGCCCCTCCTACTGCACCCTTGCCCTCCCCTTCACCCAACCCCCAGCCTGCCTGCTCCAGCAGCCTAATGGACTTCTCTCTAGGCCTACGTCTGGGGCCTCGGAACAAGAAGGCAACCCACCAACAGCCTCCTGCACCCTCTGGGCACGGCCCACCAGCTGCCTCTCCTTGTCTGTCCTGTCCCCTTTCTGCCTGTGCCTGCACCTGCCCTGGCTGTCTCCCTCCCACCTGCTCCTGTACTGCCTATCCCTCTCACGCAGCTACCTGCCCCTCCTGTCCCAACCTCCCTGGACCACCCTGCTCCTGCTCCTGCCCTCCCTGCCCTGCCTGTCCTCCCTCGACTTGTCCACACAGCTCCTGTGTCCCATGCTCTGGTCCACACTCGACCTGCTGCCACCCCTCACCTTGCCCCATTTACCCTTGCTCCAAGGGCCAAGCTGCCTGTCCGAGCTCCTGCTTAGGCTACAGTGACGGCTGTGGCCAAGGGCCTGCCTGGGGAACTCCAGGCTCCATTGGACACTGCCGCTGCTGCTTCAGGGGACAACGCACCTCCCAGAGGCACTGTCTGATAGTCTAGATGGGCTATTGCCCACCCCTAACCCCCAAGCAGAAGGCAGAAGCTCTGGGTGGAGTGAGAGGGGTCACCTGGACCCCTCACTCAGGCAGATAAAGGCAACAGGCTGCTCAGAGCCCCTGGCCTTCCCCTCAATCCTTGAGATGAGAGCAAGTATCTGCTTTGAAGTTAGTTTCTGTGTATGTTCTTGCTGGTTCCAGAACCTCCTCTTCTGCAACTTCTGGAATGGAAACTGTTCTTCTCAGAGCCTCCTCCATGGCCCCTGAAGGTGAGCAAGTTGACCATTTTCTCCCTCTAGTGAGCCTCCCTTGGAGACCCTTCTTTGCTCAACTCCTCTGCAATTTACAAAGATAAGATAGATTCTTCCTCTAGAGGTGGTAGTGGAATACTTTGAAAAGGAGCCATTTCTTACCCCTCGGACCTCTGCCCATATCCCCAACTGACCCAAGAGTCTCTTGACCTCTTACCTCTCATCTTAAGTCAAGTGAAGATGGTCAGTGGTTCTTGGACCAGAAGAGGAGGCTGAACAGAGGGTTTCTGGCTCCTCCCTCCCCTGGGATATTATGGCATCTTACATGGTCCTTTGCTTCTAGAAACCTGGCGTTCTCTGTCTGGCTGTCTTGTCTTTCAAATCTCTGAGTGCTCGCCCAGCCTCATGACCTCAATCTTCCAGGATTAATTCCATCCGTGACATCTATGCTCATCTGGCATGGGGGTGAGGGAAACTGGGAACCCTTGACTCAGGTTCCCAATGATCCCATTCACACAGGGCTGCCCAGCACTAGATCCTAAGCTGAGAGCCTCTGGGCCCCCTTCCACATTTCTCAAGTTCTCTGACACTAGTCTTTTTCAATCTTCTCTTTCTCATCCTCCTTCTATAGGACCCTTTGTTCTTTCCTTTTTAATCTCTATCCTTCGATTTATCTTTCCTTCTATTCTTCTATTCTTTCTATGTCACTCTGCTTTATTCCTGTTTCCTTCTTACTCTCATCACTGGGGCATTCTGCTTTCACCTGTGTCTTGACATCTGGTTTTTTCCACTTTCTATCCTTCTAATTTTCTCTATTTCCCCTTATAATTTAAAATCTACTTAACATATATGTCTTTTTCTTTCCCCTTTCCCTGTCTCAATTTGTGTCTTTATGTCTATTTTCTTTTTCTTTGTCTTTCAGTTCTCATATTTCTATTCTTTTCTGTCCTATTCTGCTTCTGGGTGCATTTCATTCATGATCTCTCATTTTGTTTCCCTTTCTGTGTTTATCTCTCTTCCTGTCTCTGTGCCTAGCTGTTTGTTCACTTCCTACCTCTCTTTCTGCCTACCCATATCTGTCTCTCTCTCTCTCTCTCTCTCTCTCTCTCTCAATCTCTCTCTCTCTCTCTCTCTGTTCTGCAGCTACCTGCACACTAGGCCTGTCACATGCCCATCTTGTTGCTATCCAAGCGCCAGGACATCAAGCCTTCCAGTATCTGTCTGTCCCCCACACACTCCATGCCCTGGAGTAAGTGGGGGCTGGACACAGCTTCAGAATAATCCCTCCTTTCCCCACCCACTATCCAGGCCATCCATCCTTACTCAGCTCTAAGCCCAAAACTTTTGAAAAATGATGCTTCTCTCAATTTCTTATTCTGAAAATTGGCAGTTAAAAAGAAAAAGAATTAAGCATTTATGCTGCCTATCCTATGTAAACTATATTTCAGGGTAGCCAAATAGCTGTAAGTGGTGGAGAAACTTGTTATTTATAGAAGAATTCCAGCGAGGGTGGAAAGAATATGGAATCCGAAAAATCACAATTTTGCAACCCTTAACGAAATAATTGATCAAAACAAATATCTACAATGAATGAAACCAAGGATGATGGTTGATGGAGAACTTTACAATGGAGGAATCAAGCTGTCATCACCTGACACCCTGATGAATCTTAGCATCACTAAAAGGGGCACAGCCACACACCATGTACTTCCTGTTGTGATGCAGTCTGAAGGACTCAGCTCCACCTATGAAGGAGTCTTGCCAAACAAAAACATTGAGCACGATTCTAATCAAAAGTCTAGACCTAACCTCCATTTAATAGGAAATACTTGGGATGGAAGAACAGATTAAATGACGTAACAAGGAAGTAAGAAGGCACATCCAGAATGTGGGACATTCTAAAGGAAATCTGACCCAATTTCTTCAACTAGTCCATGGCAGCGGGGAAAAGATGAGAAGGCACATGAAAAGACAACTACCACATGGAACATAAGGATCTTGTTTGGTTCTTGATTTGGACAACCCAATTGTAAAAAGACATTTTCAAACAATTAGGGACAGTTAATTATGGACTGAGTGTTTACGATGCCAAGGAATCAGTGTTGACTTTGTTAGATGTAAAAATGACTGTGGGGTTAAGTAAGAAAAGGTCCTTATTTTCTAAAAATGCATACTAAAGTGAAGAGACATATTTAATTTTAAATATTTTGGCAAATAAAAAAAAAGACAGAAAGGAGTAGAAGGAACAAAGTGACAAAATCAATATTGTTGAATTAAGTATATAGAGGTCCATAGAACTATGTTCTCTACCTTTGTGTATGTGTAAAAATTTTCATAATAAAAGTTTTAAATGTTGCTCCTTTGCATGGTTCCTAGTAACTCCCAGAGCATCTTCCCCACCTGCCCTGAAAGCCAAGACTTCCCCTGTGTGACTCCCACATACACACCCCAGACCTTCCTGCCCTCTACTAGAAGTGTGTCTTAGAGATGAATTGCACTCATGGGCTGCCCTTTGTCCTTTACAGTCATCTGCTGGCACATTCTCCATATCTAGGATCTTTCCCAGCTGTGCCTCACAGCTCTGAGGGGCCAGGGGAACTTTGAAGAGTAAATGTATTATGAATAGGTCCTAAAATAAACAAAAATAATCCAAAACAATGTAATCTTGCTTTAAGTCTCTCTCTGTCAGGTGTTTTTGAACAGAATGCAACTCAATAATAGGAGAAAACTGGTCTCAGTCCTGGAAAACAGAAGGCAAGGAATGTAAGGTCATCCTGTCCCACTCCCTGCCTTCATTCAGGTTAACCTCCACTCCCAAAGAAAAGACCACCAAGAATTGAGAGACTGGGTGTCATGAGTTCAATGGGCTTCAGTCCAGGGCTGGGATAGAGGACATGTGGGTCACTCATGCCCTCACTCCCTGAATGACCTTGGAGAAATCATAAGTTCTGAGTCTTAGTGTTTCTAGATGAGTGCATGGGAACCACTACCCCTTCCTACTCTCTAGAAGTTTGCCATTTAGGGATGAAGGCACTCTGGAGCTTGGATATAAATCTCAGCTGTTTCCTTTATCATAAGAAAGTACTTCTCGAGATGTAATCCTAGACCCTCCTACCCTCCAAGCTTTTGTATAAAGAAAACCTACATTTACTGATTACCTGTGCAGCTAGGTGAACTCATTTAATCTCAGAAACCATATGAGCATGGAATTGGAAAGATCTGGGTCCTAAATTTGACTCTACCTCTTACCATGTGACTCTGGACATGTTACCTAACCTTCTCAACTCTGGAGGATAATAATAGTACTTACCTTAAGGGTTGTTGTGACAGTTAAATTAGATAATTCATCTATAGCTGTTGGCCCGGGACTTCTTAAAATAGAGCTTAGGTACATAATAACCATTTGATAAGTGTTAACAGCTAACATAGGCCAGCGTTTTTTAGAGTAATTTACATGGATTAATTTATTCATTCATCAAATATTTATTGGATTATTTTATGTACTAGTAACTGTTTTAAGTACTAGAAATACAAGTGAACAAAATAGATCAAAATCTGTTGGGAGACGAGATAGTAAATAAATAAGTAAATTATATAGTATGCCAGATGGTATTGTGTTATGAAGAAAATGCAGCAAAGGAGAATAGGGAGTTGGAAGGAAATCAGGTAGATTAAGCAGTGTAGTGGAAGTAGTGTTGTTGCTACTTTAAACAAGATGGCCCAAAAAATAAGGGATTGTAAAATGACAAGTTCCTTGCAATCTGTGAGGTCAACCAAGGGTTGCCTCGCCTAAAAATATAAAATAAAATAAAAAATGAACAAGATGGCCAAGGATGGCCTCTCTGATAAGGTGACATTTGAACAGAGAACTAACTGGTGGCTCTGAGGAAGGGAATCATGTGGATACCTGGGAGCACTAGGGCACAGTGTGCAAAGGCCCTGGTAGTAGCCAGTACAGGAGCTGGAGGGAGAATAGTAGGAGATGAAGTCAGAGAAGTAGCAGAGAACAGAGGACAGAGGGGTTTGTAAGCCATTATAAAGATTTTGGCTTTTATGCTTAGTGAGATGAGAAGCCACTGGAGGGTCTGGAAGAGGTCATGCTAAGGCTGGAGAGAGGTTAAATAACTTTTCCAAAGTAACACAGCTGGTAAGTGGCAAGAGGTGGGCGGTCTTAACCCTGTGCTGCCGCTGAACTTCAGCCTTCAGTCATAGGCGATGCTTTCCTATGACTTCAGACGAAGAAATTGGGACACTGAGAAGTTATGTGGCTTGCCCGAGGCCAGACAGCTGGTAACTAACAAGGTTGGGATTTGAATCTTTGTCTGCAGCCGGAGTCCAAGTCCTTTACACCACACTGCCTCCCTCAGGTGTCTGGGCCTTACTGACTTCTGGCCTGGAAGTCACTATAACGGAGAGGGGGAAACAGAGGAACCCGTGGATTCCTTGGGAAGCTCCAGCCCCTGGGGCTCTGCGTGATGTGGGCATCTCTAACTCACTGCACAGAGGAAGAGAGAGAAAATAGGCCTTTATTTAGGGGTGGGCCCGCAGGTATCGAAAGCCGCAGGAGCCGGTGTCACAGGAGGGTAACGGACGACGATGGACAGGGAACATCAACGCCCCAACCTCTAGCAGTCCCCTACCCAGCGTCGGGCGTTCGGCGGTGCGCCGGTAGGGGCAGGAAGGCGGAGGAAGGCGGAGGAAGGCGGGGTTTAAGCACCGCACCCCTGTCACGTGACGGGACTATCATGGCGGCGGCTGGAGGCCTACCCGGCTCCCGGAAGCAGGCTGTGAGGGGCGGGTGCGCTGCTGGAACCCGAACCGGAGCCGGAGGTAGAGCGGCCAGGGTGGCCGGGCGGCCTGGAGCCGGACGTGTCCGGAGCGTCCCCGCAGACCGGGGCAGCAGGTGAGACGGGGTCTGGGCGAGGGGCAAGCGGGTGTGGCGGCACTGGGTAGGGGCTAGGGAGCGCAGGGGGCTGCCCGTGACCTGGAGGATGGGGAATCTGAGATACGCGCGCGTGACCCTGAAGGAACTTGAGAGGCCCGCGCGGGCGGGAGGGATGCCTGGGACAGATGACAACACATTGAGGGCAAAACGGGCTCCTCAGAGAGGATGGAAGGAAATAGAAGGAAGTATGCAGAAGCTGTCGTGGAAGAGGGCAGCAGCCCCTTAATTTGCGGGGCTGGGATTATTTTAGGGACTCCCTCTTTCATATGCCAGGCGAGGGTGGGGTGAATGCTCATCTTCTTCCCTCTCCTCTTACCCCTCCCTGCCCCACAGTGTCCTAGGAGACAGCTCTGGCGAGCCACTCCTCCCACCCACCCAACTCGTCCCTCCGGTCTGAGCTCTGGGGGAGTGGAGTTGAGGGGTGGGGAAGTGCAGTTGGCAGGGGGTAGGGTGGAGCTGCCTTCTGCTTAGACACCCAGCCCCTTGACAGTGCTGACTGGGCAATAGATGTGACTTTGAAATCCCCTTCTTCCCCCAGGTCGTCCGGGGGCCCGCCATGCTGGTGACTGCCTACCTTGTCTTTGTGGTTCTCCTGGCCTCCTGCCTGGGATTGGAGCTGTCAAGATGCCAGGCCAAGCCCCCTGGAAGGGCCTGTAGCAATCCCTCCTTCCTTCGATTTCAGCTGGACTTCTATCAGGTCTACTTCCTGGCCCTGGCAGCTGACTGGCTTCAGGCCCCCTATCTCTATAAACTATATCAGCATTACCACTTCCTAGAGGGTCAAATTGCCATTCTCTATGTCTGTGGGCTTGCCTCCACAGTACTCTTTGGACTGGTGGCCTCCTCCCTTGTGGATTGGCTGGGTCGAAAGAAGTCTTGTGTCCTCTTCTCCCTCACTTACTCTCTATGCTGCATAACCAAACTCTCTCAGGACTACTTTGTGTTGCTGGTGGGCCGAGCACTTGGTGGGCTGTCCACTGCCCTGCTCTTCTCTGCCTTCGAGGCCTGGTACATCCATGAGCACGTGGATCGGCATGACTTCCCTGCTGAGTGGATCCCAACTACCTTTGCCCGAGCCGCCTTCTGGAACCACGTGCTGGCTGTAGTGGCAGGTGTGGCAGCTGAGGCTGTGGCCTGCTGGATGGGGCTAGGGCCTGTAGCGCCCTTTGTGGTTGCCATCCCTCTCTTGGCTCTGGCTGGGGCCTTTGCCCTTCACAACTGGGGAGAGAACTATGATCGGCAGCGTGCCTTCTCAAGGACCTGTGCTGGGGGCCTGCGCTGCCTCCTGTCAGACCGCCGCGTACTGTTGCTAGGTACCATACAGGCCCTGTTTGAGAGTGTCATTTTCATCTTTGTTTTCCTCTGGACACCTGTGCTGGACCCACATGGGGCCCCACTGGGCATTATCTTCTCCAGCTTCATGGCAGCCAGCCTGCTTGGCTCTTCCTTGTATCGCATTGCTACCTCCAAGAGGTACCACCTTCAACCTATGCACCTACTGTCCCTTGCTGTCCTCATCGTGGTCTTCTCCCTCTTCATGTTGACTTTCTCCACCAACCCAGGCCAGGAGAGTCCAGTGGAGTCCTTCATCGCCTTCCTACTTATCGAATTGGCCTGTGGGCTGTACTTTCCAAGCATGAGCTTCCTGCGGAGAAAAGTGATCCCTGAGACAGAGCAAGCTGGTGTACTCAACTGGTTCCGGGTGCCCCTGCACTTACTGGCCTGTCTGGGACTCCTAGTCCTCCATGACAGTGATCGCAAAACAGGCACTCGGAACATGTTTAGCATCTGCTCCGCTGTCATGGTGATGGCTTTACTGGCAGTGGTGGGGCTCTTCACCGTGGTAAGGCACGATGCTGAACTACGAGTACCTTCACCCACTGGGGAGCCCTATGCCCCTGAGCTCTAATCCTATTCCAGGACAAGGGGCCTGGGACAGACTCTTGAATCCCGCCTCTCCAGGATTTTGCATATCTCTCTGACTGACTGTGACTGTCTGGCCCTTCAGCGTGTCTTTGGGCCCCCTCCTGCCAGTGCTTTGGGTTGAGAAGCACGAGGGGATGATGGCCTGGAAAGAAGATGCCAAAAGTTACCTCTGTGTTGCTCCCTTTCCCCTTTCCCCTAAAAATAAATACTTTTAACCGATCATTGATTTGATTTACTCATCCTCACCTGAACCCACCTTAATAGTTTTTGGTGGGTGGGCAGCTGGAGGTTTTGAGGGTAGAGGTGGGGTTACCAGTGGAAAGTTTGTATTTCTAGCCTCTTCAAGACTCCAGCTTAGACTGAGGTATGGAATTACTT